TCCCTGGCGAGAAGAAGTGATCGGAGCTTTGGCAATTTGTTTACCAGTTCGTGTGTGGACCATCTTCACGCGTACTCTATTCCTGCTAGGATGAGCCAAGACAAAGAGACCAGTTTCAACGGCTTGGCTATCAGCTTCGTTTGAAAATAAACAAGACGCTCTCAGCAGTACCGTAGATGGAGGAAATCTTGCACCACTTTGTAATGCCCCCAAATCATGGAATTTTTTGGACTGGGTTCGTAAGGTGGTGCACGATTTCATGTGGTAGTTTCCCTAAATAGGGGGGACCCCCAAATTAGTCTAATCCTTATTCTGGGGACCCCCTAAATGGTACCCCTAATTTTTGGGAAACTTCCATGTATGAAAAGTATCATAGAGTGTAAGTCTGCAACGCATTGCGGTTAGCCCGCCTCGTGAAGGTTGGGGAGAAGTTGGAGAGTTTGCCCTGATCACTTGCCGGTGTATCTGCTACATGAGCCATAGTTTAAACTCCTTAAAGGGGGTTATCGGTCAGACAGGGGGTTATATAGGAGGGGTTATTGAGGGGAATACTCGGAGTGTAGATGATGGCTCACATCCGCAGAACAATTCATCGTCTCATTCTTCCTGCTTTTGGAATCTTGGCTCAGTGCTGAGCAGAAAGTCCCGCGTGGTGGCCTGTGCCTGTGTCATAGCTGAGATCCCTGGACAGCATTGGGTTCGGAAGTGTCGCTCCAAACAGTTCATCGAAATTCCAAAGAGAACGTGCTGAGGCAAAGATGGCCCGCGGCTCCAGTGCGCTGCCCCTTGTCCTGCTGGCCCTTGCGGCCCTCTTCGTGGCCCCGGCCTTCGTGCCGTCCCCGGCTCCTCGTGCGGCACCTGAAGCCAGCACCGCTGCCCTGGTGGCCGGCGCCGCGCTGCCACTGCTCACGGCCCAGCCTGCAATGGCCGAGGAGCGACTGAGTCTTAAGAGCCTGTGCGGGTGAAGTGCAATCATGAATTCATGTGCCAGGACTACATGATGCCTCCTAGCTGGCCCTTCCTCGTGGTCTTCGCGGGCGGAGCCTTCCTCCTCCTGGGCGCCGGAAACTTCATCTTCCCTGGCGAGAAGAAGTGATCGG